ATGTGTGAAAAACTTGTTGCATCTTTCCCAATAAGACTCATGGCTGTATTAGATCAAAAGGGTGCTTCTACTAAATACTGAGCAAAGGGTCTGAATACTTAGGACCATGTGATATTTCAGTTTTTCTTTTTTAATAAATCTGCAAAAATGTCAACAATTCTGTGTTTTTCTGTCAATATGGGGTGCTGTGTGTACATTAATGAGGAAAAAAATGAACTTAAATGATTTTAGCAAATGGCTGCAATATAACAAAGAGTGAAAAATTTAAGGGGGTCTGAATACTTAATACTTTTTTTTTATACACACACACAAAGAAAAACAAGTAGATAAAATAGAAAAAATAAAAAGCTAGTGTTTGTTTGTTTTTGTTTATATATATATATATATATATTTAATAATAATGTTACAAAATATTTATATTTCAAAATAAATGCTGTTTTTTGAACTTTCTATTCATCAAAGAATCCTGAAAAATAAAGTGCATCACAGTTTCCACAAAAATGAGGCAGCCCGACTGTTTTCATCATTGATAATAATCCGTAATGTTTCTTGAGCAGCAAATCAGCATATTAGAATGATTTCTGAAGATCATGTGTCACTGAAGACTGGAGTAATGATGCTGAAACTTCAGCTGCGCATCACAAGAATAAGTTACATTTTAGAATATATTCACATAGGAAACACTTATTTTAAATTATAATAATATTTCACATTATTACTGTTTTTACTGTATTTTTGATCAAATAAATGCAACCTTATTTCTAAAACATGTCAAATCCTAAACTTTTTGGTAGTGTATCTGAATTAAAACATTTATGAACAAAATATGTGGATATGTTTGGAAAATAAAAACTTTGGATTTTGAAAATAAGACTGAAGACTGTACAACCTATTGAATGGACAAATGAAAAATGGCATGTACTCGGACTGAGGATCTCTGAATGAATGAAAGTCATGACTAAGCAGCAGAAGACTGCTTTCATCAACAAAATCTTTGCTTCTTTGTTGTTGCAGTCGTACCGTTCAGTACAAGGCATTTCAGTCTGGATTGTGACTGAAGCAGCGTTACTGAGACACAGTCGCAGGAAAACACGTCCTGTGCTGCAGGAAGCTGATGTGTGCAGTCCGTGTGCTGCAATGTCACTATGACATCATCATCATCACAGGGTCACCGCGGGGTCAGAGAGCTGAGTGTGTGTCCTTAGATTTACCCGGACTGCCCAGTCAGCAGACTCCACTGCTGTCTAATGTGTTTTCAAAGACACAAACCCGCGTGAACCTCACAAATATGTTAGTATTTCATTCTCATTTCAAAAGGGAAAAAAATGTCCCCCCTATTTTTTACAATTAAGAACAATGTCATCCCAAATTCTCATTATGCATCTTTGTTTTACTTTTAAGAATTGTTTGTAATTCTTATTAATTTTATAATGATATCAGTTATCTTATGTCACAAAGCATAAATAATAGTTTTATCTTTATTTCGTTTCATTACTGTTATTTTGTTTAGTTTTTATTATTACAGATTTTTTAATAAGATTTTAGGGGGTCAGTGTAATTTTTTTATTTTATTTTATTGTATTAAGCTTTTTAGAAAGTTAAGAAATTATCATAATTAACAAATTTATTAATTAAAAAACAAATTATTTTATTTTATTTTTTATGATTTTGTCATGAAATATGATCCACACATTTTTGACAGGATTTGTTAGATTCATAATAAACTTTTTTTTTTTTTTTTTTTTTTTTTTTTTTTTTTAATAAAAAATTTTTATAATGTTTTT